AGAAGAGGAACTCACACGCTTCATCACCTACTTCGCCAAACGCCCCATCTCTCCGCCAAGAGTGCTACCCGAGCTATACCCTCAACAAAAGGGTTACTACGACCTTGACAATCAACTCAAGGAGTCGGGTCTGTGGCCTTTCGTCTCCCGCAGTCGCACCTCCTTCAATCCCGCCTACGTTCGGGCATTCTACTCCAATCTCCGCCGGGACGGGGACACTATTCGCAGCAGCATCAATCTCGTGGACCTCGAGTTTGATTTGGCTATCTTTGCCCGGATCGCAGGTTTGCCCACTCGCGGTGACGACATCGCGACTTATGGTGGCGATGATTGGATCCTCAATAACGAGGCGGTGGTCATCCGAGAGCTCGGAATCACCAACCTCGTCCGTCACAGCGGCGCACCAACCATTCACTCAGCCCCGTCGGAGAAGCGCCTTCTACTCTACATCCTCACCCGGATTCTTCGCCCCCGGGACGGCAGCCACACGTGTCTCTTCAACGAGGATCTCAAGGCCGTTCATGCAATCACCCATGGCGCCTCGATCAATTGGGCGAAATACGTCATGATCCACATGGCGGATTGCGCCTCAATCGCCACCGAAAGGAGCTTGCCCTACACCTTCCTCGTCATGGATCTCATTGTCGCGGCCGAAATCCACATCGCCGGCCCGAACACGAAGATGACAAAGATTTGGATCATCCAAGACAGCACCTTCCGGAAGAAGTCTGGTGACGGAACCGGCGCTGGACCGAGTCATGCCCGTTCCCCTGCCCCTGCCCCCGCTCCCGCCAAGGCGTCCTTACAGTCCATAGCCGATACTCTGAATCGGCTAACCCTCACAGTGGATGGCATGGGGCAGTCAATCGAGCGGATGGATTGGACGCTGCAAGGTCAACACCATGACATGACAGCATTCTTCCGCGGCATCAACTATGTCCCGCTGCCCTTTGACAGCACCATCCTCGGCCAGAACTATGAAGGCGAGGACGAGGAGGATGACTCCTATGCTCTGTCTTCCTCCCCTGACGAGGCCGATTTTGAGGACGCGGTCGACGGGGATCCCATGGACGTTGAGGACGACGAAGAAGACGATGACGCCGAGGACGAGGACGCCGCTGCCTAGACTCTTCTTTTTTTTCTATGATTGTCCTTTTTATTATTATTTCCATTCCGTTGTATTCCGCATTTTCTCCTTTTTTTAATATATAAAAGTTCACTTTTAAACTCTAAAGTTCACTTTTAATTCTTTTTGTTAATGTCAAAAGGGGGAAGATATCAAGGTTATGCATAAATTGAGGGGGAATTGTTTTTAAAATAAAATGGCAACTATTAAGGGGGAACATTTTTTTAAGTCTCTAAGTCTTCCTCATATGCATAACCTCATCTCGTTTGCCATTATCAAAAAGGGGGAAATTGTTGAAACACGGGCATGTCACGTTTTCGTACTAAAGTCGTGTTTGTTCTTATGACAGGTTTTGATAATGCCAAACCGCCGTGATCAAGTCAAACTTTGAATATACAAGGCGAAGAAGGAAGACAAGAACAAGAGCTAAAAGAAGACCAAGAACGAAGACCTTAGTTTTAGTATCGTGAGTCGGTCTTCATTGTGATCAAGACCGACCCAATCTCTACACCTTGGCTCTTTAGGCTAAAATCTTTCATTGCATTTCTTAAATCATAAAAATGTTTTTTTAAACATGTTTAAGTCATTAAAAACACTTGGTGTTCGCCCAAACCAAAAACCAAGCCATCCAGCGTTCGGTTTTTCAGAAACCGGCGTTCGGCTCTCGGTTATCGGCTATGGTTTTTGGCGTCCGAACCAACCAAGTGGTTTTCAACTTTTTATGATTGGTTTTCACTCTTTGGCATGTTTAAACGGTTCTCCAACAAAAACACATTGAAAACCATCTTTCGCTTTTGGTCGTTTGACAAAAATCATTCAAAACGGCATAAACTTGGCTAGCCGTGGTTTTCACTCAAATGACGTGGTTTTTAAAGTGTCTTACTTGATTTCTTAGCCAAATACATCAAATAAGTGTTTTAAACACTTGGTTTTTATTTTGGAGAACTTTGAATTTTTCGGTCG